GATACCAGAGCTTGAGGTGACATCACAGGCATCCCCAGCAGTTTACTGCACTCGGGGTATAGACTTTTTGATCCTGGCGTGCTTAAAGCTGACCACCCCTTGTAATGAGGATGCCGGGGGTACGACCACCACTTGTAATGAGGACACGGGGGTACGGTCCCTTTGTATTGAGGACACGGGGGTACGGTCCCTTTGTATTGAGGACACGGGTACGGTCCCTTTGTATTGAGGACACGGGGGTACGGTCCCTTTGTATTGAGGACACGGGGGTACGGTCCCTTTGTATTGAGGACACGGGGGTACGGTCCCTTTGTATTGAGGACACGGGGGTACGGTCCCTTTGTATTGAGGACACGGGGGTACGGTCCCTTTGTATTGAGGACACGGGGGTACGGTCCCTTTGTATTGAGGACACGGAGGTACAGTCCCTTTGTATTGAGGACACGGGGGTACGGTCCCTTTGTATTGAGGACACGGGGGTACGGTCCCTTTGTATTGAGGACACGGGGGTACGGTCCCTTTGTATTGAGGACACGGGGGTACGGTCCCTTTGTATTGAGGACACGGAGGTACGGTCCCTTTGTATTGAGGACACGGGGGTACGGTCCCTTTGTATTGAGGACACGGGGGTACGGTCCCTTTGTATTGAGGACACGGGGGTACGGTCCCTTTGTATTGAGGACACGGGGGTACGGTCCCTTTGTATTGAGGACACGGGGGTACGGTCCCTTTGTATTGAGGACACGGGGGTACGGTCCCTTTGTATTGAGGACACGGGGGTACGGTCCCTTTGTATTGAGGACACGGGGGTACGGTCCCTTTGTATTGAGGACACGGGGGTACGGTCCCTTTGTATTGAGGACACGGGGGTACGGTCCCTTTGTATTGAGGACACGGGGGTACGGTCCCTTTGTATTGAGGACACGGGGGTACGGTCCCTTTGTATTGAGGACACGGGGGTACGGTCCCTTTGTATTGAGGACACGGGGGTACGGTCCCTTTGTATTGAGGACACGGGGGTACGGTCCCTTTGTATTGAGGACACGGGGGTACGGTCCCTTTGTATTGAGGACACGGGGGTACGGTCCCTTTGTATTGAGGACACGGGGGTACGGTCCCTTTGTATTGAGGACACGGGGGTACGGTCCCTTTGTATTGAGGACACGGGGGTACGGTCCCTTTGTATTGAGGACACGGGGGTACGGTCCCTTTGTATTGAGGACACGGGGGTACGGTCCCTTTGTATTGAGGACACGGGGGTACGGTCCCTTTGTATTGAGGACACGGGGGTACGGTCCCTTTGTATTGAGGACACGGGGGTACGGTCCCTTTGTATTGAGGACACGGGGGTACGGTCCCTTTGTATTGAGGACACGGGGGTACGGTCCCTTTGTATTGAGGACACGGGGGTACGGTCCCTTTGTATTGAGGACACGGGGGTACGGTCCCTTTGTATTGAGGACACGGGGGTACGGTCCCTTTGTATTGAGGACACGGGGGTACGGTCCCTTTGTATTGAGGACACGGGGGTACGGTCCCTTTGTATTGAGGACACGGGGGTACGGTCCCTTTGTATTGAGGACACGGGGGTACGGTCCCTTTGTATTGAGGACACGGGGGTACGGTCCCTTTGTATTGAGGACACGGGGGTACGGTCCCTTTGTATTGAGGACACGGGGGTACGGTCCCTTTGTATTGAGGACACGGGGGTACGGTCCCTTTGTATTGAGGACACGGGGGTACGGTCCCTTTGTATTGAGGACACGGGGGTACGGTCCCTTTGTATTGAGGACACGGGGGTACGGTCCCTTAGAGCCCAGAGACAAGTCTTACTAGCAGTTTCATGTCTGTGTAGATAGTCCTCATCATACTTCTACCACACGGCCTGGAAGGAGGTTAATGGTCACTCGTGGGGCCCTGTGGCCCCTAATATGAAACCCCTTCCCCCATTTATATGACAGAATCTCAGATACAAATGTTTATTAGCGAGTCATAAATCCAGAAATAGAGAAAACGTGGCAAGAGAGGAAACTGAACATCGGAGTCGGGTCTGTGGGGGGTCCCTCAATGTCCTCCGTGGCCTCCATGGTGCTTCTTCAGGAGTGGCTATAAGAGAAAACAGAGAGTGGCCATCAGTGCTAGTACCTGGGTTCCTGCCCCCCCCCCCCCTTACACTCAGCCTCCAGTCTGAGGGCCACATGGGGCCCTATGGTGCTTACTGTGCAGCTTTCACATCCTTGGCATCGCTCCCTGCTCATCAAGAGACCGGGAACTGTATGAGAAAGTGTTCCTGCAGCCTCGGACACTCTCCTCTGACCTCTCAGATGGTTGTCACCAGAACAGGTGTCCCCAAGATTCCCCTCCCCCGCCTCCAGTTCTGGTGACAACACTATTGTATTTCTTCTCCTCTAGCCCCGGTGACACCAGGACACATCTACGGGTTGGATCTCCTCAGCCATAAGATTTGGATAATTTACTGAAGTTCCGGGGAATGGGGAGGAACCACATCCTCTAAGGTAGCAGACGGCATGGAACCTTCGGAAAGTTATCGGTGGTTTGGCTCGCCGGCCGCGTGTTTGATGGCGATGGTCTGCAGGAGTTGGGGCGGCACGTTCACAGAGAAGACCTGACCTGAGACCAGGACAACTGTACATCAATGTCCCCCATTGTCTCCGGCTCTCGCCTTTCCTCACTCTACTCAATATGGGTCTTTGGTGTGTCTGTGTCCCCCGTGGGGGGGCACAGTGGTAGGGAACCCATCCCCCACTCCATCCAATACTACAATGAGAGGTTCGGTCTGCCATGGCGGCGAGAGCTCTGCCGGATTTCCTGGACGCTGATGGACACAAATCCGGAAGACGAGAGCCGAACCCTCGGGACGGTTTGAGTGGGCCGTGTGTATGTAGTAGAAGTCATCCCGTGCGGTCCCCTGTACAACGCTCCAGCACATGCTGGCGCTATATGAGTGATTGGTAACTGTAATCCCCCTTGGTACTGCACACCTCCCGAGGTCCCCCCCCATTGTACCCCAATCTGTGATGTCACAGCATTAAATCTTACCATACAGATCATGCAGAGCAGCAGGTAGGACAGGATCAATGATGTCATCACCAGGAGAGCCACGCCCCATCCAGGGACACCTAGCGGGGGGTAACAGAGAAGTAGGTGAGATCCTGTTCTGTACTGACACACTGAAGAGGGAGGGGCAAAGGCCCATCTGTGTAGCCCTGTAGTGAGTGGGCCAACCCACTTCTATCCATGTTACCCTGCAGTGGGAGGGGCAGGAACCCTTCTGTCTGTCACCCTGCAGTGGGAGGGGCAGGAACCCTTCTGTCTGTCACCCTGCAGTGGGAGGGGCAGGAACCCTTCTGTCTGTCACCCTGCAGTGGGAGGGGCAGAAACCCCTCTGTCTGTCACCCTGCGGTGGGAGGAGTCTGTCTTTTTTTTTTTTGTTACCCTGCAGTGAGCAGTTGGTCGGTGCACATACCTGTGGTTGTGTTGGTTTGGGCGGCTGTGGTTGGTGGAGAGAAGTGGAGGGGCCGTGTTTCATTGGACCGGATCATTTCCCATGAGAGAAACAAACAGAAGATACAATAATAATGAGATACATAGAAATAAATCAAACTTCACCGATGACAATAAATCCCATCAATGGGCTGGAGACCAGAACCGACCCTCAGCAACCCGACAACTCCGCTGGAAACCAGAACCGACCCCCAGCAGCCCGACAACTCCGCTGTAAACCAGAACCGACCCTCAGCAACCCGACAACTCCGCTGTAAACCAGAACCGACCCCCAGCAGCCCGACAACTCCGCTGTAAACCAGAACCGACCCTCAGCAACCCGACAACTTCGCTGGAAACCAGAACCGACCCTCAGCTACCCGACAACTCAGCTGGAAACCAGAACCGACTCCCAGCAGCCCGACAACTCCCCTGGAAACCAGAACCGGCCCTCAGCTACCCGACAACTTCGCTGGAAACAAGAACTGAACCTCAGCAACCCGACAACTCCCCTGGAAACCAGAACCGACACCCAGCAGCCCGACAACTCCCCTGGAAACCAGAACCGACTGTCATCTACCCGACAACTCCGCTGGAAACCAGAACCGACCCTCAGCAACCCGACAACTCCGCTGGAAACCAGAACCGACCCTCAGCAACCCGACAACTCTGCTGGAAACCAGAACCGACCCTCAGCAACCCGACAACTTCGCTGTAAACCAGAACCGACCCTCAGCAACCTGACAACTTCGCTGGAAACCAGAACCGACCCCCAGCAGCCCGACAACTCCGCTGTAAACCAGAACCGACCC